CGGGTTGTATTTAGATGTGAATCACATTTTGACTTATTGATTCGATAGTTTATTCAATAAACTATCGAATAAATAAATACAACCCGATATTTTGGTCTGTTTTGTCCGAATTAGCCCGATCGGAAAATGTTGTAAGGTTATTTTCAAGGCAGACCCCATATTTTAAAAAAATTTAGGAGACTCGTACATCACGATATAACTAACCAATCAAATCACGAAAAATTTGATTAACCTGGATCAGTCCGAACAAAACAAACTCAATTATTTCAAAATTGTAAATATTTCAGTATCGGCCCTTTCTACTGCAAAGGCCCCATATATAGCTCATTATTATTGATCAAACATTCAAAATAATCGAACATATTATTGTTATTTATCTGAGCAGAAAATGTATGGCATTAACAAAATCGCAAATATACCGGTTGATCAATATGTCACACAGATCAATCATTACGGCGCATTTGTAAACTACCCAAAATTTGAAAAGTTTTGACCCCTATAGTGCGTCAATTGAATTGACATTATATATACATATGAGTTGTCTCTTGTATCCCATTACGGTGCATTTGTAAACTACCCAAAATTCAAAAAATTTTGACCCCCGATAGTGCGTCAATTGAATTGACATCATATATACGTATGAGTTGTCCTTTGTATCCTGATTTGAATTGCATATGTATATTATGTAATAAAATAAAGATCAGAATATCGATATATAGTCTGTATACAAATAATTTCAAATTATCGTCACATAAAAAATAAAATGAAAGAAATTGAAGAAAATTCAAATTACCCAATAGATCGTACTATTAAATGGAAGTCACCACGGAGAAGCTTTCAATACTATATTGTCAAAGAAGGTGTTTATCCACCAAATCTTACCTTGCTTACACCAGAGCACCAAATCAATATCCGGTTCCTGATAATTATATGGTGGAAACAACCTATGGAAAAAAAGAAATAATGATTACTTGTTTTATTAATTATTATAATGAAAAACCTCGTTATAAAATACAATTTGGATTAAATGAAAATGAATATGTATATTCAGATCATTCACCAACAGATGCAGCAAATGCATACCTAAAAGCTTATTATGAAAAAATCGCATTTGAAGAAAGGGCTAAAAATCCAAGTGTACTTATATATACTATTATTTATATATATTAAATATATAATTTACTAAAACAAAATTTTATTTATATTAATTTAATTAGTTTCAACAATCAAAAACTAAAATAAATGGTGTTTACTTATTTGGTCTGCAGTTAATACAAATCAAATTAGTGCGGGAAAATCAAAAAAAAACAAGAAGCCTTAGACCGTTTTCTGAAATTACAAATCAGATGCAATTCAGACGAGGCAGAAACTTTGGCGCAGATAGTTTAACAAGTCTTGAAGATCATATTAAGCAATATTTTTCTGCAAAAGATAATGTCACAATCGATGAATTAGTTTTTACAATAAATAATTCAAGATTCCGGATTATATATCAACCTAAAGCCAATGATGAAGCAAAACGTCAATTAGCTATTACATGAGCTTTAGATGATAATAGGATTTCAAGATCCTCATATCGGGCTTTAGCAGCAATATGTCATGAATTACCACGAGATAGAGCTATATTTGAAAGATTAAGTCAAATAAATGCAATTATGGATAAGAAGATTCCAATTTATCTAATTAAATTACAACAATTTAAAGATAAATTAAACTCTGATCATGAAATTCATATCACAGATTCTGAAATTATTAATGAAGTCGAGAGTTCATTGGGAAATGGTACAAGACGTTCAATTAAAGATATTTTAAGATTTCTTATACCATCTATGGTTAGTAAAGGAATACTTAATTATTCTGAACCAACATTACATATTCGTATTAGTGGTGACGGAAGAAATGTTGGTCACAAAATCAAACATGTAATGGTGACATTTACAATCCTAAATACGATGAATATTTTTAAATCTGACTCACATTTTGCACTACTTATTTATTCGGGTATAGAGAGTTATGACACATTATGTATTGCATTAGCACCATTAATAGAAGAGCTACATGATATTAAGACTGGATTTATTGATAACAATGGATATAAGTGGAATATTGAATTATATATCTCTGCTGATTGGAAATTTCTCGGTATTTGTCTAGGACATAAATCAGCCAATAGCGCAAATTTCTGTCTTTGGTGCTCAATAAATAAATCTCAAAATGGAATTTTAGAATTAAATAATGAACGACAAGATAATTGGACTATTGATAAGAACATTGACGATATTAATCAAAACTATCAAAATATCTTACGACATAAAAATTCTCCTTTATTTTCGATGATTCCAATTTGCAACTGGGTTGTCGATGAATTACACTTATTATTACGCATATTTGATCGACTATGGGCACTTGTTTTAAGTGAACTTTGTAGTACACATCGTTTTACTGATCAAATATATGGTGTACCATAGGTACCCAAAGTGACATAATTTGTGTTTTAGTGTTTTAGTGTTTTAGTGTTTTAGTGTTTTAGTGTTTTAATGTTTTAATGTTTTAGTGTTTTAGTGTTTTAGTGTTTTAGTGTTTTAGTGTTTTAGTGTTTTAATGTTTTAGGAAATTTGTCCCAAATATAGT